AGGAAAGCTGCTGCTAGGAGAGATGTCGCAACATTGGAAGGAAGTGACTAGTGCTTATGGCAGTGGGATTCAAAAAAGCTCCCTTCTGTTGCCAGCTATTTTATCCATGTTCTTTGAGTATGGTCAGTTCAGCTCAAGTCCCTGCACACTGCTTTCTTCCTCTGCAAATTGAAGATGACGCCATTTGCCTATCCAACAAGGACACTTCTTAATGCAGGTGCTGTTCTTTGCTAGGGTTAAAGAATTCATGTAAGTATTGAGATGCATTTCTGAGTATTTGCAAAGTCAGAATTCTCAGGATGTGAACACATTACATATTCCAGAGCAATACTTAAAATTTGGTACAGCATTGTTATTTGGAGCAGGTAGGAAGTCCTTTTATTCAAGCTGCCCTCAATGACCTCTACCTTAAATAATACTATACAGGATGTTAAATGAATTTGTGTTCTTTTTTTTTTTTTTAATTATCATGAATGACTAGCAATAATTGTCTAAAATTTTATACTTTAAACTGTATTTTTGAGGGTGGGTGACTTTAGATCATTATTTATTTGAATTCAACAAAATGTTTTGCTATGAATTTTTGCATGTGTAAGAAAATAGAAGTTGTAAGAAATATAACTGTGGTTTGGTCTTTTTATAAAGTTTATCACCTATAACTAAGTCTTCTTCATTTTTCACTTTAATTGTCTTTCAGGGGGTTCAGATATTGAATACTTAGATTTTTATAAGCCAGTGGTGTGGTTCTGGATCCTTGTTGGGTTAGCTTACTTTGCGGCTGTCCTCAGCATGATTGGAGACTGGCTAAGAGTCATATCTAAAAAGACAAAGGAAGAGGTAAGAACATTTCAAAAGGGGAAGAAATACTACATTTTAAAACCTTTGACCTATGCCTTAGAAGCAAAAGCAGATAGAAGGTCATCTGACTTCTAATCAAAGTTGTTTATGTATGAAGTATATGCTGCAGCTCAAACTACAGCAAACTTTGTAGCGGTCTTGTCAAACAGTAATTTTTCACATGGCTATTTTGTCAAATTGAGTGTGTATGCGCAATTGCAGTTGACTTACAGGAAAAATTTCTCCAAAATAATTATTTTGGAATAATTATTTGGAATTTGGAATTCTGGAATGAAGTAATTTTCTGAGGTAAAAATAATTCTGCTTTGATTGTTTCTGTATGGGATGCAGATATATAAAGAAAAATACTAAATCACTAAATAGCTATATTCAGGATACCTCTGATCATTTTATAGTGGTAAGAGAATGTTTAATATCATGCAAGGTATTGGAATGAATTATTTAAATATGCCTGGGTGTATTTAACCATAACAACTTCAGTAGCATGCATGGTTACTTGTAGGCAGGTGCATTGCTTTCAGTTCAAATAGATTTTTATTTGTAAATGTGTATTTATCGTTCCAATGATGATACAATATTTTACTTTCAATTTTGTCACTTAAGAAAATACCCTGGTTTTGAAAATGTTAGAAGTTAAATAAAATTTCCTCCGATTACAACCAGCAGAGTACAGGTTTCACATGAAGTTTGAGAATTAAATTAATTTTGTTTTGAGCAACCTATTATTTCCCTCTAATTTTTTCAGTTCCTCTGCACACATCAGTTCCATTTGTGTTACTCAAATATAAAGACTCTTTTTTTTATTTTTTTATGGAATGAATATTGGTTACTGTGCAGTGGCCTCCTATTTATATTGTTTCAAACTGTTTTCTTAGCTGTAGGGCACAGCATCAATGCTTAGATGTAATCCTGGCCATTCCTGAGTTCCCAAAGGTCTTGCTGTCCAGGGTAGCTTACCACTATGTACTTCACTCAGTGCAGACCCCCGAGGTCCCTGCCCTGCCCTGCCCAGCGGCGATGGTGACAGCAGGCAGGAGGGTGTGAGCTGGGCACTTGGGCAGGGTTAAGCGTGCGGGATGGGCAGCCCTTTTCCCTTGCACTCACGATGCCCATAGCTCTTGCTAGGCAGAGGCAGCATTGTGGCAGATCTGAGTACACGCTCACCAGGCGTTTCATAAATGCTGAGCTCTGAAGCAGAGGACAATGCTTATTTGATCAGCTTCACTTAGAGTATCTTTTCTTGCACCTCTGCTGTAGATTTGAAAGGATATTTATAACTTTTCTTACACAATGAGCTTTACTGGTGTCCTTCACAGATACGGAGCAGCAGGTATCACACAAGTGTTCCCATTTCCAAGTTCAACAGTTTCTAGGATCACTGTTTTGTTTCCTGGAAAAGCACCCAGGGCATCTTTAACACCCAACCTAGGTGATTTACACCGGCTGCAGGAAATCCAACAGATCATGTCAAAAGCTGTTAACCTGCATTGTTTTTCTTTATTTTGAACTTCAGAATTAGGTCTGTCTAGCCCACTATTCCCTGTGCACTAGGGAAAAATGAAGAGCTGGGCAAGCGCTCTCCTGGTATCTAACTGTTCTCAACTTGGGGCATTTCCTAAAGGGCATTTAGTTTCCCTGGGTTAATTGTTTCTGGGTTCTTAAAGAAAATGTGTATTATGACTTGGGAGTGGGCAAAAAGAACTTGTTCAGGCTGGGCTTTGCTGCGTTTCCTCAGACACTGGTGGCACAGTTTAGTTCCTCACACTACTTCCTAGTATTAATCTGATCTTTAATCTCATTTTTCTCATATTCTCTCTTATCCAGACAGTAAGATCTCTGGATAAGATACTGTCTTGACTATATAATTGTACATAGCACACTGACTGTTTAATCTTGTTTAGTGTGTCTCATTAACCATATTATAATAATGATTATAATATATTAAGAATGCTTGAATTTTATAATGGCTTGGTTTTATTTTATGTAGGCTATTTAAATCTTTTCCAAAATTAATATACATTGAAAGAAACACAAATTGAACAAACTCATGGATTTCTTTAACTCATTAAATAAATTACTGTTTTTATCAAGTAAAGCTCCATTTGCCAGGTTATGCAGCTCAGTGCTATGCCGAACTTCCTTTTCTCAGACACCAACAATGTATACCCTATTTCATCTTTCCATTCTTTCTCACCTTTGTAGCCTAAACAAGCATATTCATTTTGTCTACAGAAAGGAAAACCTCATTCTTCAGATAAATCCAAATTCTCTTGGCTGATGCAGGTATTTGGAATTTGCTGTGTACAAGTGTCACATGTGGGTTAGGTTAGATTAAAGGTGGACATAACATAATTGGTACCATTTGTTCAGTTAACCATATCCCTGATGTTCTTCCCCCCATTTTTTAACCCATTGCTCAGGCATTTCTGAGAATATTCGTAACAGGAAGAAAACGTTCTAGCAGTTTAAATATCCTGCAGCTCCAAAAAAATATAGAGATCAGTTTGAAAACTGAATGTGGCAGAGCACAAGTTGTGTGCTCATTAGAAAATATGAAAAATTATTTCTGTACCTTACCCTGCTGATAGTTTGTAAGAAGAAAGTTGTATACAGATATATCACATTTTGCTATAAAATTAGCTGTGTTTGAACAGAAGCATACAAGCGTTCACTTTACAGGTAGCACTTTATGATAAAAACTGCTGCTCTTAGCTCATCCTTACTATCTGCCTAGGAAAACTTGAGTAAAGAAGCTGAGGGAGTTCAGTGGAAATGTAGTTAGCAAGTCTCCTCTACTCCAGCAGAAGCCAGAAGAGACTTGGAATTTCTTGTATTGTCTGTTTTTTCAGTCAAACCTAAATTTACGATAATCTGTTCCAGCTTCTATGGATGCAGATTATAGCAGAGGAGCCTTTCTGGGGTTCAAATAGTAGAAATGAGTGCAATAGAAAATCCTAGTTCTAAGCATGGGGTTTTTTTAACTGTCTCTTAAGGACACATTCTGTCAGTCATGGGGTAAATAGGTCATTATACCTACAGTACCCTTTTAAATTATATAATGCTATATACTGGCATCTACTAAAAGAGAGAGGCTATGATAAAATCTAAAGGACAATAATTAATGCACTCCGAAAACTGAAAGAGTTTATTATATTTCCTAGGAAATAGAAGACACTGGAAATTGTCTTTCACGAAACTGACTCACTATGGGTATCACCACCTACAAATGAACAAGATTTCACATAGGATTTTTTTACCATACCTTTCATGAAAAAAAATAGTAGTAGCCTACCATGTTTCAGTTACAGGAGGGAGCAAATCATTCAGTACCGATCGGTTCTGTTGGTTTCAGCAGCCTAAGACCCAGGGTAGATATCAGCCGAGTCTAGTGAATTGTACCAGAGCCCAGGATGAAGACAAAGGAGTTGCAAGTGTTGAAGAGTCCCTCTCTTTACTTCCCCTGAACAACCAAAACTATATATCAGCTGGTTAATTAGATATCTCTTTTGATAGGCAGTCATCATAATCTCCTTTTGCCTTTTCCTGTATACTAAAATAAAAAATAGTTCAGATGGCATATTTTGGGGGTGTGTTTTGAGAGAAAACCTCCATATTCTAGTAATTGGGCATGCTAATAATGCATATTACCTAATACCTAGAGTGCTGTTCACATTTTTCTTCATGCAGTTGCATTTTTCTTAAAAGCGGTTTACATACGAGTTTGCGGTAATAATGCATTTCTCTGTTTCAACAAAATAAAGCATCTATTTTTTTAGGATGCTACCAGGAAAGTTTGCCATATATAAATGGAACTGAGGCAAAAAAATCCAATTAGGCATGCACTGATCCACAATAATACTGCATTTTGATATTGAAATCCAGATAACCAGAATGTCATGTCAGTTGCTCAGGTGGCTTTTGTCTCCTGAAATACTCCTGAGAGTTTTGAATGCATCAAATGGGGAGGGAAGTGAAAGACAAGTTGAGACAGAAGTGGGAGTTTTAGGAGGATAGATGTGCTGCTGGAAGCAGTTCATACAGTAAGATAGATGAAGTGTCAGAAAGTCACTGGAACATGCTGTGTGCTGTAATCTTAAGTAGGCGGTCTGTCTCTGAAGCTCAGCTTCAGCTCTATGAGCTTGCCTTAAACTCCCTCCTCTTCATTATTCTCTATACTGTGATTACTCAGAGAACTTTTAAAGTCTTCTGATTTTAGGCTCTTTGAAAGGTAAAATTTCAACAGGAATCTTTTTTCTTGTCATATTTTACCTCCCTATGCAGCAGCTTCTAAATATCAGCCTTTCCAGCAAAAATGCTTGCCCATCCAAGAATCTTAGTCATTTTGGGCTATAAATTTAAAAATCTTGATTTTAAAATGAAGTGCTTATGTCTCTTGGTCTCACAATATTCTCTTTAAGCTCTAGTCCAGACTCCATATGAGTCAATGATGATGACACTCATTTCCAGTATACATGACATCTGACCCAGTCATCTACATTCCCTTCATAGTCAGTGGAAGGAAATGACTGTTTCTAGCATGACCCATTTGAGGGTTTTTTTTAGGCATCTACAATATGACATGAATTACATCCTGGAATAGCCTGTTCTGTTCATTGTGTATCAAGAGTCCAGGTAACTGTCTCACGTCAGATGTTGGCACCGTTTGGACAAGTGATTTTCATGCTGTGAATCATATGGATCCAGCTCTAAAGACCAAGCTTAAAAATTCATTAAAAAATAGCATATTCACTTATTGAAGAAATTCAAGAGGCAATTGTTATCTTTGATATTTATAAATAAATTAAACAAATTTGATTCATCTGAATCATCATTCAGTTTCATCTTCTTGGCACCAGTGGCAGAATTGTCACTCATGTCTGTTTAAACAAAATTAAGCTTTTTCATGGTGATGTCATGGAGATTATTGCACTCCCTATAATATTTGCTATCTTTTCATTTTACTAGCTTCAAGCTAAAGG